GCACCGTGGAGTCCAGGGAAACTTTTTTGAGGAGTGGACAAACCACAGCCTGTTTCAGATTAGATGGAAAAATCCCTTGCTCCAACGATGTATTAATGATCAATACAAACCAATCAACCAACCCCTCCCTGGCCGATTTAATGAGCCAAGATGGGCACGGGTCTAGAGAAGAGGTGGTCGCCCTCACAGCCCCAAGAATCTCTTCCACGGTTTCAGGAAGAACAAGCCTAAAAGAATCCCACAAAATTGGACAAGCAGATGCCTCCGTCACCTCTTCTGGCACTGCGATGAAATTGGAGTCGAGCTCAAGGCGTATCTGAGCAACTTTGCCTGCAAAATGGTGTGCGAAATCGCGACACCGAGCTGCCGGGTCGTCGATGATCCCCTCTGCCACCGGTGGGTGAAGGAGTTCTCCCACGACCCGGAACAGCTCCGATGATCTATTTGCTGCAGACGCTATACGGGTGGTCGTGAATGATCTCCTGGCCACCCATATAGCCACGGAGTATGCCCTAAGAGAGGCTTTAGCCCGTGCTTGATCAGACACGTCCCGAGATTTCCTCCATTTGCGCTCTAGCCCCCTTCTCGTATGCTTCATCACAACCAGCTCCCCGGTGAACCAGGGAGATGGCCTGTCACGACGCAACGAGATGGGGCGTTCGGGTGCGATCGTATCTATCGCCCTGGACATCTCCCTATTGTAGAGAGTCACCAAGGCGTCGATAGAATCGCCAGGCTCCAAGGCAGGAAGAACCCCAAGATTCCTCAGGAATCCGTCCGTGCGTAGAGATCACATGTATAAAATAAATGATTAATTGTTTCATTTGTGGTGTGTTTTGTATTAATGTTAGTTGTGTGTGATAGGTATAGTTTATTTATTATGAAGAAATAAAAATCAAATTTAGAAAATCAAATCAAAAGTCACAAAATAGGGCAGTGCTGGAAAGGATTTGTATTTCTCCTCAGTAATGATTAACCATTCAATAGATGATTGATTGAGGTGTAGGAGGAACCCAAGAACCTTCCAACTGATAAAATATTAGTCCTTACGTATTGCAGAAATTCAGCCTTCTCATGGTGGAATTGGACTTTTGAGGAGAGCAATCTGGATCTCATGTATAGCCTATAAAGTCCTAAACAGTTCTGGCCCAGCTTACCTGTGAATGTATCTCCCCCTATGAACCATTTCGTCTGGGGAGGCCCTGCTTTTCGGTCCTGCCTTCTTTGCAGATGCAACTGCTCGGGACGAAGGACAGGGCCTTCTCAGTGGTGGACCCTCAGATGTGGAACTCCCTCCCCAATGACATTAGATCAGCCCCTTCCCTCCTGGCCCTCAGAAGGAAAATGAAAACATGACTTTGGGATCAAGCCTTCGGAAAACAGTGCAGAACGATAACAGATATGGAATATATGCAATGACTATTGGAACGGCCCTGGACTACGATTATGGATGGCATGGTTTCAATATTGAATGTAATGTTTTTAAAATTGTAATATGCATTAATTTTAATTTTAATGTTTTTGGAATTGCATGTTGCTCTAAGGCATTGAATAATTGTCTATATATAAGCCGTCTTGAGTATCCTTTGGGGTTGAGTAAAGCGGAGTATAAATATGGTAAATAAAATAAATAAATAAATAAACAAATGTATCTGTTAAGCAACAATTTGGTATTTACTGCAATAATGTTTTGAGTTCATCCATTACATTTTCAAAAACATGTATATACTTCTGACGTTTTAAGTATATATATTTAAAATACCGAGTGTGAACATAATAAATATTTTTATGTAAGCACTAGCTGTCCCCTGCCACCCGTTGCTGTGGCCCAGTCTGTGTATATGTGAATATATGTGTGTTTATGTATATATGTGGTTTTGCGCATGCGTTGTAATAGGTTTTTAATTTTTTTTTGCTTTTTAGTCCCTTCCAATGTGTTTTTCCATGTTTTTATGAGTGATGGCCACTTGTTGGCTTGATAGGTGTCTTGTGTCCAAATTTGGTGTCAATTCATCCATTGGTTTTCGAGTTATGTTAATCCCGCAAATGAACATTACATTTTTATTTATATAGACTAGCCGTCCCCTGCCACACGTTGCTGTGGCCCACATGGGCATTCTGTGTGGGAGGTTTGGCCCAATTCTATCATTGGTGGGGTTCGGAATGCTCTGTGATTGTAGGTGGACTATAAATCCCAGAAACTACAACTCCCAAATGTCAAGATTCTATTTTCCCCAAACTCCATCTGTGTTCATATTTGGACATATGGAGTATTAGTGCCAAGTTTGGTCCAGATCCATCATTATTTGAGTCCATAGTGCTCTCTGGATGTAGGTGAACTACAACTCCCAAACTCAAGGTCAATATCCACCAAACTCTTCTAGTGTTTTCTGTTGGTCATGGGAGTCCTGTGTGCCACGTTTGGTTCAATTCCATCATTGGTGGAGTTCAGAATGTTCTTTGATTGTAGGTGAACTATAAATCCCAAAAACTACAACTCCCAAATGACAAAATTAGTTTTTTTGAGTGAAGGACATACATTGGGTTGTTAGGTGTCTTGTGTCCAAATTTGGTGTCAATTCGTCCAGTGGTTTTCGAGTTCTGTTAATCCCACAAACGAACATTACATTTTTATTTATATAGATTACATGTACATCAATTTGGCAGGAAGATGTTCTTGCTGAGGATTGCCACTGAGTTTGGCAAACCCAGCTTTTCTATTAATTCAATAACACAGAACACTCTGATATGAAAATTCTACATTACAGAATTTACTTCAAAGTATGTATAATTAGAGCAATGACTAAAAAGTCGCATCTATTTTTTTTCAGCCTCTCCTTTCATTCCTCAGCTTTTAAACTTGCACATAGCTCTTCACTTACAGTAAGATATGGTGCATGCCATTCTCAAAAGGCAATGCCATCATCCAACACACCTTGTGACTCCAGTATGATCACAAGAATATCTGCCAGAAAACTTTGCAGCCCCCTTTCAGAATTAGTATCTAAGATTCTGTGTTTTTGACACCGACAGGCTCATGATGGTGTGAAACTTGCCAAGATATTTTATAAAGAACTTCCAGGCAGTTTCCTGATTCAATTGTCATGCATATGTAAAAGGACAAAACATAATACCACAAACACAGTAATGTTTAATGGTGACAGTTCACACATTCAGTTGTGTGTTATCTTGCATCCATATCTAATGGGGTGAAAAAATTGCCTTGAACAGGCAGGATCACTTTTAATATATATGTGTTATGGCGACAACTTTATGCTATTTATGTTATTTATCGTGTCAGGAGCAAACCAAACAGTTGTATTGCATTTTTTAACAAACAAACAAAACACAAACTTTGCAAGCTTGGTAGTTGATTAAATGTCCTTTGACCAGTAGCTGGCCACTTGGAGTGCCTCTGGTGTTACTATAAGAAGGTCCTTCATTGTGCATGCGGCAGGGCTCAGGTTGCATTGCAGCAGGTGGTCAGTGGTTTGCTCTTCTCCACACTCACATGTCGTGGATTCCACTTTGTAGCCCTATTTCTTAAGACTGGCTCTACATCTCGTGGTGCCAGAGTGCAGTCTGTTCAGCGCCTTCCAAGTCACCCAGTTTTCTGTGTGCCCAGGAGGGAGTCTCTCATTTGGTATCAGCCATTGATTGAAGTTCTGGGTTTGAGCCTGCCACTTCTGGACTCTCGCTTGCTGAGGTGTTCCAGGGAGTGTCTCTGTAGATCTTAGAAAACTATTTCTTGATTTAAGCCGTTGATGTGCTGGCTGATACCCTAACAAGGGATGAGCTGGAGATGTCATTGCCTTGGTCCTTTCACGATTGGTTGCTACTTCCCGGCGGATGTCAGGAGGTGCAATACCAGCTAGACAGTGTAATTTCTCCAGTGGTGTAGGGCGTAGACAACCCGTGATAATGCAGCATTTCTCATCAAGAGCCACATCCACTGTTTTAGCATGGTGAGATGTATTCCACACTGGGCATGCATACTCAGCAGCAGAATAGCAAAGCGCAAGGGCAGATGTCTTCACTGTATCTGGTTGTGATCCCCAGGTTGTGCCAGTCAGCTTATATTTTATGTTTATATTGGTTTTTTATATTTTATGCTTATATTTTTTTGTTAATCTTGTGGTTATGTTGTTTGCTCTGTATGTATTGATGATGCTACTTGGAAACCACTCTGAGTCCCCTCGGGGAGATAGAGCGGTCTATAAATAAAGTTTTATTATTTTATTATTGTATTATAAGACACTGACAGCAGACAAATACAACTCAGATGTTTGAACCTTGGATGGACAAATCTTGATCAAGGTAAAAGCTTCCTTTCTCTGAATTTTTAATTCATGCTATAAAATTATGTTCTCTCTCTCTCTTTAAAAAGGTAAATGTAAAGTTTTCCCCTTGACATTAAGTCTAGTCATGTCCGACTCTAGGGGGTGGTGCTCATCTCCATTTCTAAGTCGAAGAGCTGGCATTGTCTGTAGACACCTCCAAGGTCATATGGCCAGCATGACTGCATGGAGAGACGTTACCTTCCCGCCAGAGCGGTACCTATTGATCTACTCACATTTGCATGTTTTCGAACTCCTAGGTTGGCAGAAGCTGGGGCTAACAGCAGGAGCTCACTCTGCTCCCCTGATTCGAACTGCCAACCTTTTGGTCATCAAGTTCAGCAGTTCAGCAGTTTAACTCACTGCACCACCAGCATTTTAAGGTTTCCATGGCATAAACAGTCACCTGAGACTAAGCTCCATGAATGACATTTTTACAGGATTTATAGGATTGCACTGTTATTAAATGATATCTTGTGCTTTCATACACAAACACACACACCTCTTGGACACAATACCTTTTAGATGACACCTCCCATTATTCCCCATCTACCATGGTCACTGGCAATGCTACCTGGGGTTTCTGGGAGTTGTAGTCCAACACAGGTGGTGCATAGAATATTTGTTAAAGACTTTGCATCCAGTTGACTTCAAACAACTTACCTTCCTGATTTTGTGATGATCATCTCAGTCCCCAATTCATGGAATTTGTCCCAAAGCTCCTTGGTCTCCAAACTGCAGGAGATCTTGGCCATCTCTTCGCTGGGGATGACGGGAGTGGTGGGGATGAGGGGTTCTGTGCACAGGGAGGAGGGGTTACTATTATTGCCGAAATCTCCATGTGTGTCCAAACCAGGCAGTTCATTCAGCGCTTGAGAACAAGATGACTTCTCCACAAATTGCTCTGAAAGGAAGACAGAAATGGTGATGTTGAAAAAATAATCCCATAAAGAAACAAGTTATCGCATCAGAGAGAAAAAAGCAAGATCACCCAAAAGGCAATAAAGGAGAATTCCATCACAGACCTAATAACCAGAAGTGAAACTGACAATCACAAAAAAAGTTCTGTCTCCCCCAGAAGTGAAATTGACAGACATGACATTGACAACATCTTTATCACTGAAGATTGGGGACACATTAGTACTGGTCACTTAGGTTAGTTTGAAACGGGTCTTGAGCAGTTTTGCTGTGCAGATGATTCCATTATCAACCCTGGAATCAGTCAGAGGCCAGGATGGTGATTACACGCCACTCAGCAGCCAACCTCAAACCTATCCTAATATCTCCACTAGAGCCACAGCAGATATAGGGATGATTTTTTTCCAACTCCCTCCTCTGGAACCCACATGTGCGGATCAGTGGACCACTGTGGATGTCTGCATGGCAATTCTCATACTGCAAAGCAAATTTTGCTGTGTGGTGCGTTTATACTAGAGAGCACTAGAGGCTTCATTTTGGATTTTCACCTACGCAGTGGGTTAAACCACTGACTTGCTGAGCTTGTCGACCAAAAGGTCACAGGTTCGAATCCAGGGAGCGGTGTGAGTTTCCGCTGTCAGCCTCAGCTTCTTCCAACCTAGCAGTTTGAAAACATGCAAATTTGAGTAGATCAATAGGTACCGCTCTGGCAGGAAGGTAATGGCTCTCCATGCAGTCATGCTGGCCACATGGCCTTGAAGATGTCTATGGACAATGCTGGCTCGTTGGCTTAGAAATGGAGATAAGCACCACACCCCAGAGTCGGACACGAATGGACTTAATGTCAGGGGAAAACCTTTACCTTTACCTGACTTTGCTTGCATCTGATTACGGGGCTTAAAGCAATGCAGTGCATTTTTTCAACTTGCATGGCCTAGCTGCTATGTTTTGGAGGTAGCGTGAAACTGCCAGTGTAGATCAGTAGTTCCCAACCTTTATTTAACCAGGGAACACTTGACCAGAGAACACTCTCCAACATTACAAATAAGTTTTTGGTCAACTTTAGATTTGGTTTGGTTATTTGGAGTGCTGATTCAGAAAATTGCTTTGGATAGACCACATCAGTTCTAGTTTCTGATACAGAACATACGCCACCCAGTATTTGCTATCTGCTCACCCATAGAAAACCATATCTAATAATCTAGAGCTGATGTGGTAGTAGTAATCTTTCATAGATAGTCGGCCCCTCCCCTCCCAATATCCCCCTTGCCTCGGCACTCTAAGAGGGTTTCGCGAGACCAGTCACTCTCGTTGCCAAATGGTTTCAAGGCAATAGTATAGTAATGGTGAGGTCGTGAACCACATTTTTGTTCTTGCGGACCACTGGTGGTCCACGGACCACAGGTTGGGAACCACTGGTGTAGATGAACCTGACATTCCAATGAGACTTGGGATATATTTATAGAGACAGTTAAATCAATCTGAGTGCTAGACACTGAATCAAGCCTAAGAAGTGTCCACACAGAGACTCCCCCAGTCACTGCAGAAGCATATTTCGGTGCCGCTGTGTTGCCACCTTAAATCTCCCTCTACGCCCATGTTGTGCCCATCTCCAGCCACAACGTGGCACCAAGCTGTTCCCCATTGCTTGCTGTGACATCAGGCAGAGTGATGGGGTGCTGAAGGTGTGGAGAGAGGAGGAAATTCTCTCTTGTCTCCCCCTTTCTTTCCCCAAACTGGTAATGGGATAGAGGTGCCCTGTCACAGCTGAAGACCACCATAACACCGCAGGCATGGGGGACGGGGATTGTCATCCTGGGTCAGAGCCCAGGGAATGCAAAATGGCAATGGGGATGGTAGCAACCAGTTCTGTTTGGGAACTAACCCAACTATCCCTACTGCCCCTAAGTTGGGAGGGGAACCCCCCCCCCCTTTTTCCACAATAATACTGTAAGTGGCAAGGTCATGTTAAAGTAGCCTTGCCTCATGTTGCTTCAGATCAGCCCTGTGTGGTGGGTAGCTGCTGCGGGGTTGATCCTAATCTATAGCAACCAAAGTGATTAGTGTAAATAGGGCGTTTGATTATTGTAGTGGTTCTCAACCTGTGGGTCCTCAGGTGTTTTGGCCTACAACTCCCAGAAATCCCAGTCAGTTTACCAGCTTACCAGGCCAAAACATCTGGGGACCCACAGGTTGAGAACCACTGGATTATTGGGTACTTTCTCTCTTTTTCACTTTAATTGAATCATCCTTTGGAAAAGAAGGCTGCCAAAAATGATAGTCTACAAAATTCAGGAAAGCCATGTTTCTGGCCCTAAATGAAGTGTGAAAGTAAAGCAGCAGCAAACAAACAAACATAGCAAGCGAACATCTGCTTCCAGGCTACACAATCCCTTCTAGTTACCGGAAATTGAAAACAATCAAAATAAAAATAAAGAATCGCAGATGGAAACCTTTCTTCCCAAATACCATGTCCAGGTATGTTCTTTTTCTTGTCTTGTTCTGTCCTATTCATCAGTTGGCAAACAACCTGAAGGTACATACACGCATGCACATATCAAAGAGGAAACTGAGCACAGCCACCTCTTTTCTGGAATCCAGATCCCACAAGTTTAAGAGCAGGTAGGCTTTTGGTTTGCTTATTCCTCTAACACAACATTCTCAACCTGGAAGTTGGGACCCCTGGGGTCACGAGGAGATGTCAGAGGGGTCGCAAAAGACCATCAGAAAACACAGTATTTTCTATTGGTCATGGGGGTTCTTTGTGGGACGTTTGGCCCAATTCCATCGTTGGTGGGGTTTGGAATGCTCCTTGATTGTAGGTGAACTATAAATCCCAGTAACTACAACTCCCAAATGTCAAGGTCTATTTCCCCCAAACTCCATCTGTTTTATATTTGGGCATATTGAGTATTCGTGCCAAGTTTGCTCCAGATCCATCATTGTTTGAGTCCACAGTGACTACAACTTAGACTACAACTCTAAAAGTCAAGGTTAATGCCCACCAAACCCTTCTAGCATTTTCTGTTGGTCATGATAGTTCTGTGTGCCAAGTTTGGTTCAATTCTATCCTTGGTGGAATTCAGAATGCTCTTTGATTGTAGGTGAACTATAAATATCAGCAACTACAACTCCCAAATGACAATTTATTTATCCCCCAAACCGGATAGTATTCAAATTTTGGTTTATTAGATATATGTGCAAAATGTGGTCCAGTGAATGAAAATACATCCTGCATATCAGATATTTACAGTATGATTCATAACAGTAGCAAAATTAGAGTTATGAAATAGCAACAAAATAATTTTATGGTCACCAGAACATAAGGAACTATATTAAGGGGTCACAGCAATGGGAAGGTTGAGAATCACTACTCTTAACAGGATACAAAAGTGCCAATATTATTTAAAGAAATTTAAAGAATTATTTAAAGTTTTGCAGAGATATACTAGAATTTTGGCCACATTCTTACTTCATGATATATGAGAGAATGCTGTTCATTAAAAAAATGTAGATAGAAAACTAGTTTGTTGGAGTTCAGTACTAGCTATGGTAGTTTTCTAAGTAGATATATTTATTGATTTTTAAATGTCGGGGGGGGGGGTCAGGTGAGTTTTATCTTACCGCCCAAAATGTTACAGTATAAGAAAAGAAAACATTTCACCGAGGGCCCAACATTGCAGAGTAATGTCAAAGTGACAGTAAGAAAAGACACTTGGGATACATAGTAACCCGCTCACAAAGGATTATCCCGAAATACATATCTTTGGATACAAAAATGACAAGAAAAGATTCATATCTTCCTTCTAATGAATACTAATGAATACAGGGTGGAAAAGTTAAGGACAGCCAATCTGAAATAGAATGTGGATATTTGTTCGTTAATTTAGAAGAGGAAACGAGCCACTAAAAGCAACTGTGATACTTGAAAATCAAAATCCTAAACTCATTTGCGTGCAAAAAAGTCCCACTGACTCTCGTGCAGTAAATACATGTGTGTTTGATTTGGCATTACAGGAGGAATATTGTGTGACATTGAAATGTTTCTAAATTTTATAGGCCAAAAACGCTCATACATGGGGAAAAGATGCAATTTTTTTACCATCCCCTTGGATTTCAAGGTGAAATTGAGGCTATCGTGTATTTATTATTTATTTATTTAGGGTTTTTATATCCCGTCCTTTCTCACCCTCCGCAGAGGGACTCAGAACGGCGAACGAAGTGGCACCCCATGGCACCCACATCTATATAAATAAAAATGTAATGTTCGTTTGTGGGATTAACAGAACTCAAAAACCACTGGGAGAATTGACACCAAATTTGGACACAAGATACCTAACAACCCAATGTATGTTCTTCATTCAAAAAAACACTGAAAAACACAGCAGAAGGGACTTAAAAGCCAAAAAGCCCCTAAATATAAATGATGAAAACCTAAATGACAATACAGAAAAAAGGGAAGAAAGAAAGAGGGAAGGGAAAAAAAAGAAAGAAAGAAAGAAAGAAAGAAAGAAAGAAAGAAAGAAAGAAAGAGGGAGGGAGGAGGGAGGGAAAGAAAGAAGGAAAGGGAGAAGGAATCATGGAGAAAGGAAAGAAGGAAGGAAAGAGGTAGAGAAGAGAAAGAGAGAGAAAGAGAGGAAAGAAAAGGGAAGGAAGGAAAGTTAGGAGGAAGGAGAGAAGGAAAAAAAGGGAAAGAAGGAAGGAAAGAGAGCGAAGGAAGGGGGAATGTAGAGAAAGAGGAGGGAAGGAAAGAGAAGGAGAAGAGAGACAGCAGAAGAAAAGAAAAAGGGGGAAAGAAGAAAGATAGAGAAGGAAGAGAGAGAGGAAAGAGGGAAGGAAAGAGGGAGTGAAGGAAGGAGAGAAAGAAGGAGAGAAAGAGGGAAGGTTGGCCACAGCAACGTGTAGCGGGTACAGCTAGTCAAAACATAAATATACAATTAACAGCAATGTAATAATAACAACAATATAAAACAGTATAAAACCGTA